AATTTCACGTTATTATGAAGATATTGTTTTGACATATTCTTTAACAGGTAAGACTTCGAAGAAAAGAAAAGAAAGAGTGAGGAAGAAATAGTTTTTCTGTATTATTTTATTTTTATATAGATGGTTGCTATTAATTTCCTATTAATAGTAAAATAGTATTATTATTTGAACAGATTTTAAATCACATTTTCGAGTAGAAAAGCGTACATACGAAAGATTGGTACAAGATCTTGGACAACGTTTGTATCGTGATGAAAAAATGTCTCCTGGAAAGCAAATAGCAATTACTTTATGGTTCTTTGGTAATCGGGAAGTTTATAGGTTAATATTATTTAGATATGATATACTTTATTTTAAATATATTTATAGTAATATAAAATATTTATTCCCTTAAATTTCCTTTTATTTGTCTTTTAGATTTTTTTAAGCTTTTACATATTTTCAAATTTGTCTTTCATAAAAATTATATAGCTTTTGGAAAGAAATAGTTTAGACTTTTGATTGCCTTATGTTAAATTCAGATTACATTGAGTATGCTAGTGACGAAATCTGATTTATATAACAGTTGTCTTGTCTTTAATATGATTGATTTTTTCCTTCAGTTCTTCTTTAATATACATCAATTATCATATTAGAGAATTTTATAATAGTCGCAAAATTTTATCTTTCTGTTTTTTCTGTAAATTTTTATTATAAAATTACAATAGCAGTATGTGTTAAAATTATTTAATTTTGTTGACTATACAGATTTATGTTTGTGTACCATCTACATACACTTACCCCTACACATAAAAATTTTTTAGATCAGTTGCGGATCGATTTGGAGTATCCAAAGATACTGTTTGGAATTGTGTATTTGAGGTAGCATTACTACTAACTGAAGATGCCCATAGATATATAAAATGGCCTGAACTTCATCAAATGGCTCTCTTTGAAAGAGAATTTCGTCAATTACATGGTTTTCCTGGAGTAATTGGTGCAATTGATGGCTCTCATATATCAATAAGTGCACCTATAGAAAATCCTGAAAATTACATTAATTGTAAAGGGTTCAATAATATTACAAGGAATTTGTGATTATAAATTTAGATTTATAGATGTTTTTACGGGTATATGCGGTAGTGTTCACGATGCAAGAGTTTGGCGTTTAAGCGACATTAGAACATTAATAGTACAAGATGAAAATAGGTATTTTCAAAATCAATATCATCTTTTGGCAGATTCAGCATATCCTTTATCAAATTATATGTTAACTCCATATCGAGATAATGATCACTTAACTAATGTACAAAGACGATTTAACACAAAACTCTCAAGAACACGTGTAGTCATCGAATGTGCTTTTGGCATGTTAAAAGGAAGGTTTAGAAAATTGAAGTATATTTATATGTATAATACAGAAATGATACCCTTAGTTATTCTTACCTCTTGCATCTTACATAATATATGCATAGAAAATGATGATGAATTTATTTATGACGACGCATTTGATGAAGTAGAGGTACAAGATAACATTGTATTTATGAATGGAGCAGAAAAAAGAGATATTATCTCTCACATGTTGTAAAATTGTTTTTATAATAGAAATCTTTATTGTAATACGTATTAATATATACGAAAGCATTATATTGAACATTGACATGTTGTTAAATAAAAGTCGTTATATACAGGTATTAGTAGAATAGTTCTTCTGAATAAAAACGTTCTATACCATTTTACAAACAAGCATATAAATTTTCATATTTTTAATTATAAAAATCTATAAACGTAGATATTTTCAATAACCTAAAATATGTGAGTATTTGCAAAATGTACTAGGCTTTTTTTACAACGAATATACTCAACACTTATCATCAAATAACTTGCATGCCTATATAACATATGTTTACATTATACTTATTATGAGAAGCACACACACAATGTTAAATATATTATTTAATTATAAAAATAGTATAAAGTTAAATAGTATAAAACACTATAATATTGCTGCAAAATAAAATTTTTTAATCGTAGAAAATTATAAATATTTATACTAGCAGATTTATAACACATTAATAAATATTTTTTCGTAATTTTGAAGAAAAAGGAATATGAGGCTGATGATATAAAAATATATCATTGTGTTAAGTTAAATATACATAATAAAAGGTTTATATTTCTTAATATTTTGAAATGCATATTCATATTTTTTATAAGAGCTTGCACGGGAAACAAATAATAACGATCTTATTTTATTATGATATACATATAAATACTTTTAACTTACATAAAGTATTACCAGATTTGTTGAAACATAAAAAAAAATTTTCAACGAACATAACAATAAATAAATGAATCACAATATTGTGTTAATAATATATCATAATACATTAATTTTAGTATCACATTTTGCACTTTTAAATAGCATTATTTTTTTACTTAATGCAACTAAAAAATTAATCGTTTTCCTCAATATCTAAAATAATGAATTTATATTTTCTATACTTTTCTAGGTTAACATTAATATATTTACTTTACATATACTTTCTTTTTAAATATTTTTTTTTCCTGTTTAATGTCTTGAATTTTTTTCTAATAAAGATAAGAGCCTTTCTCTTTGATTATAATTTTCTTGATGATGCCTTTCTCTTTGTTCTATTAGTTCTTCCATCCAGGCAGATGTTTTTGATTTTCTTTTTCTTGTTTGTCTATTCTTTAAAACATTAGTTGATGTTATATTTAATACATTTTGTTCGTTTTCACATTGTTCCTCATCAGATAAATGTAAAACATTTTCATTTATTGTAAAACCACGTATATTAGATGCAATGGACAACGGTGCAACTACAGGATTTTTTCCTAACATATCATTAATAATATCAAAATATTCCCAAGTCTGTTTTGCTGTACCAGTTTGTTTCTTTGCATCTTTAATTATTTTGTACTTTTTTTTCATACTGGTCCATTTAATGTAACAATTATCAGCAGTCAAGTTATATCCTTGGATGTTCATAGATGCAGCAATATTTTTCCACAAATTTTTGTTCAATTTTCCATAAAAGTTTGTAGAGGTTTCTGTGTTTTTTTGTATTTCTGATAACAATAATTTTGTCATGTTATCAGTCCATTGAATTCTGTAATTAACTAAATTAAAAAATGTTACTATTTGAATAGATAACAATAATTAAAACTTATATACAAGAAAAAGAACCGTTATTTTTATTAGTACTATTTATAATAACGATTTGACAATAATGTTGCAATTTTTTATGACAATAACTGAAGATAATTTGAATGTCAATGCAGTTAGAATCAATGATTATATAAAATATAGTTTAACAGGTGGAAAATAATCATATTCATCGTCTGATGGATTATTAAAAAATACTTCCAAAATACCTTGTAAATCCATTTCTTCCCTGAAAGTATTTAATCACAGTTAAATATCAATAGTAGAATAATTTAAATTAATAACATTATGTTAATTATATACAAAAATGTTTGTGAATAAATTAAATAATTATAGTTAAATTTTTTTAATTTACAGTAATGCATTTTAAAATTACACGATAATTTTATATGATTGTAACTTTAAGTAAATTTAATCTTAGTATAAATTAAAAAAAGCATATTGCGTCTGACAATTTGTAAAATTTACGAAACGTACTTTTTATTGCTTTTCTGTGATCTTAGAGATAATTCAACTCAGCGTAAAAAGATCGTATATTATAG